TGTGGCAAAAGCCTTAAGGTTTCAAAGTGGTATTCCTTTAAAGTTTTGGAATGACTTTGTGTTAACTGCCGTGTATCTCATAAATAGAACTCCAAGACCCACTCTAGATCACAAAACTCCTTTTGAGGTTCTGTTTCGAACCAAGCCAAATTACAATCACCTAAAGGTTTTTGGATGTCTAACCTTTGCCACTACTCTTGCTAGTGGAAGACACAAATGTGACCCCAGGTCTAGGGAGTCTGTGTTCATTGAATATCCCTTTGGAGTGAAAGGATATAGGTTATTCGATTTAAAAACCAAGAAAGCTTTTATCTCAAGGAATGTGATCTTCCATGAGAATGTGTTTCCATTCAAAAATATCAAAACCAATAGCTATATCCCTTCAACTGACTTCAGCTATTTAAGCTTCACACAAAATCCTATTATTTCCAAAGATTCCATAATCTCTAGTTTTGACAATGATCAGCATATTGAGCATAACACTCCAAAAAATTAGCTCATTGAGCATAAAATCCCAAATGAGCCACCAGATATTGAACCTTTTAATTTCCATGAAAATAACAATGATCACACTTCTCAACCCATCACTAATGTTTTTGAACAAAATCCTCCTACTGCAAGCCACTTACCCCAGAGGTCTAGCAGAATTCGCAAGACACCTCATCACCTGGAAGACTTCATGTGTCAATAGGCCTCTTCAGCTCCCCCATTTCAGAAGTTCAACAGCAAAGAGGAGGATGGTTTAACAGGTAGTAAGTTTCCCTTTAAAGATGACATTTCTTATGACAAATTATCCATACCTCACCGTGTCTTCACAACCTCAATAACCAATCATCTTGAACCTAAGATTTACCAAGAAGCCATTGCCTTTCCTAACTGGCGTACCGCCATGAAATCTGAGATTGAGGCTCTTGAACTCAACGATACTTGGGTATTGACCAGACTACCGCCTGATAAAGAGGCCATAGGGTGCAAATGGGTATGTAAGGTGAAGTTTAATGCTAATGGCAGCGTTCAAAGATTCAAGGCATGTCTAATGGCAAAGGGATACACCCAACAAGAGGGACTCGACTACCATGAGACATTTTCTCATGTGGCGAAGTTAGTCACCATTAGAACTCTACTAGCTGTTACAGCTGTCAAAGGGTGTAAATTGCATCAGCTCGATGTAAATAATGCTTTTCTACATGGTGACTTATATGAAGATGTCTACATGGAGTTGCCTCCAGGTTATCTTGATGATAGTAAAAAAAAGGTGTGCAAATTATGCAAAAGTTTGTAAGCTTTCCAGTTTTATTGTTGAACAAGGATATACTCCATCAAAGGCAGACTATAGTTTATTTACCAAGCTAATTGATAGCACTTTCACCGCCATTCTAGTATATATAGATGACATAATAGTGGCTGGAAATTGTGTTGACTCCATCAATAAGCTAAAGGTCTCTCTCAATGAAAGATTCAAAATCAAAGATCTGGGAAAGTTAAAATATTTTTTAGGCACTGAAGTAGCAAGGTCACAAGATGGAATTCACATATGCCAGAGGAAGTATGCCTTGGACATCCTGGCGGATTCTGGCACGATAGGTTCAACTCCTGCTAGAATCCTCCTTGATCAGAATATAAAGCTCAGCAAAGATGAAGGTGAATTATTGCCTGATCCATCACTTTATAGAAGACTGGTAGGTAGGTCATTGTACTTGACCATCACAAGGCCAAACCTTGCATATTTGGTTCAGCTATTGAGTCAATTTATGGAAAATCCTAGAGTTCCACATTTGCACGCTGCTCATAAGGTATTGAGATACATCAAGCGAGCATCCGGACAGGGATTGTTCTATCCAACAAAATCAAAATTGCAACTTGAGGGCTATTGTGATTCAGACTGGAGAGCTTGCGTAGACACCAGAAGATTAGTAAGTGGCTATTGTGTGTTGATAAGAGTAGTTTATACACTTATTTGTGGCCCTAAATTATGATATATTATTATCTTTTGGATTAAATTTTACTTAATTTATGTTGTATTGTATTTTATAGATAAAACTCAATCTTTGATGAAAAATTGGAGAAAATGAGCAAAAAGTGACTAAAATTGCAAAATCCAAAGTAGGAGAACTAAGTTGGATTAACTCGAAAGATTGGAGGATTGAAGAAAATTATACATTAAATGATCTCAATTGGACTTGCTTTGGAATTCAAATTCAATATTTGCTTGGGCTATTAATTGGACTGCAATTTAAGGGATGTAATTAAACCTCAATTAAACCTGAAATAGAAGTGGTGGCTGATTTGTGGAGACTATACGCCAACATGAAGTGGGCTGGAATTGAATTTCTTTTGGAGTCAAACACGCGGCAGTGGAGAGATTATATATGCATTACACGCCAACAGCAACAGGGGGTGGAGGGCTGAAAAGAAAATACATACAGGAACCCAAATACGCATTAAGGCAGACAGAAAAGGGAGGAGAGAACGGAAGCAAAAAGTGGCCGACAAGGGAGAGAAGAAAGTGGGCGGTTGGCTGATGAATTAATATAGATTTATACACACAGATTTCGGAATTGGAGGGAGGTTGGTGGCTAAATTATATTATATAAATACCATTGCCAGCTGCTGGAATTGAAGCAAAAATATATAGACATAAACATTGGGCTGCTTGCTGGGGAAATCAATTATATATACACACACAGCAGTTGGCGGCCTGGAAAAGTGAAGAAGAATTTTACACGCACACAGGAATTGGACTTCTTTCTATAGCTGCCGGAGGTTAAAGAGAGTGAGTGGTGGCTTCTGGAAAATATACACACGTCAACTCCAAGTTTCGTCAAATTTTGGTGATGTCGTTCCTCTTTTGCATATTTTATTTTTACATTATGCGTAACTAAATTATTTTTAGGGTGAACAGTGTAGCCGAATTGGGATCCTTTATTTCGTTAATTTGAGATTCTTGTGCTTTTATTTTATGTGTTGATTTTGCTATGCTCTCAATGCATTTAATTACTTGATCACTAATTAAATCATTACGTGAACAATAATTACGTAGAGATATGGATTGTCGTTTAGACCAAATAGTAAAATCCGGTAAATTGGCATAACATGTAGAGATACCTATGTTAAATACTTCGGTCATAGTTGAATTCTTAAAACCAATGTTTCGTATAGAGATATGAAATTGAATTAGTTAAATAGGCTCAATGAGAATTCGAGATGGGTAAATTGAATACAATAGAAGAATTCAATCGAAAAAAATTGAGAGGGGTAAATTGAAAAAACTTGTTGCGTTTTTCTATCGCAAGTGTACAATATCGTAACAAGTAGTAAAGTGGACCTTTGAGTCCGGATTATCGTTCCCACGAGAACTATACTTTAGCCTTAATTTACTTTTCTAACTCCTATTTGATAAAAGACAAACAAATAAAAATATGAATTTGTTGAGACTATTTAATTTAAACACGTGAAATTAAATTGAATCGAAAACAAACACAATTTATCGAAATTCAAATAATGACGGTTCTTAGGGTTGAACAATTTCACCTATTGATCACCTTTATTCTTTAAATCAAGATTCATAACCTAATGTAGTGTTCGATCGAATTCTTCTATTGTATTCATGTGTTCATTGGAGAAGCCTTAATATCATGGAAATCAAAGAAGCAACATGTGGTGCCCAGATCTTCAGCAGAGGCGGAATATAGAGCTATGACAAACCTCTGTTGTGAACTGACTTGGCTTGGATATTTACTTAAAGATTTAAAGGTTGAATTTCTGCAGCCAGCCATCTTGAATTGTGACAATAAGGCTGCCATTCACATAGCTACGAATCCCGTGTTTCATGAGAGAACGAAACACGTTGAATTTGAATGCCACTTGGTCCAAGACAAGGTACAAGATGGAAGTGTCATCACTGATCATGTTCCTAGCTCATCATAGGTTGCAGACATTTTTACTAAATCAGTTAATTCTCAAAGCTTTTACTCTTACTTGTCCAAGATGAGAGCAATGGATATATACTCTCCATCTTGCGGGAGGCTATTGAAATTACCAGATGCACATCTGCTGAGTCAGCTGGAGTACAATCAGCAACAAGAGCACCAACGTGGATCAATGACAAGGAACAACAGCAGAAGTGTCTAGAAGATAATTTGTTGGATCAGTTTTTGTATAGTGGAATTAAATCAGTTTTTCCTTTTTTATTTTTTATGTAAGTTTGTTAGGAAATTAGTTAGAAATGATTCTTTTTTCCTGTATTTATTAGAACCAGCATTTTACATTTCATACACAGTGAAATGAATTCAATTTCAGCCTCAGTTTGATTGCTTAGAGCCTGTTTGGTGCACATTAAAATGAGAGAATGCATTTTTTTGAAGTGATGTGATGGAGAATATATGGTTGAAAAAAAAGGAAAAGTTATTGATGTGATGAAAAATATTATTTTATTAAAGAATGTATGATTGAAAATGAGTAGAAGAATGAGAATGAAAAAATAATGTAGCTCAAACAGGGGCTTAATATCAAAATTCTTTTCATTACAAATCTAATAATTTACGTGTAAAATATTTTATTATTTAAATGTATGATTTAAAATGACTGCATAAACAAAATGAACTTTCAATGGTTAGACAAGCATGCGCTGGAAAGCCTGATTATCAAAATGGGAACCAAGTCAAAGTCTTTCAAAGATAACAACCCATAGGTTCATCTCGTGCGCTCGTACTTCTGTCTCTGCAATAGGTTGGTATCATCAGACGGACCTTGAGGTAACTTCCAATGTCTATAGTTCTTCTTGAATTCAATCGATTTGATTCCTGTGTCACAGCTTCAATCTGCTCATTTATCCAAATTGTGAAATATGTGGATTAAAAGATTTTTTTTTTTTTTTTTTGCAATTACGATCGTATAGAAATTTATCAAATATAGTTTTTTTTTCTTGATAGTTGATATCCCATCAAAAATTAAAATTTGCATTGTTAGCTAATCCTGTTTGAAGGTGCAGACGGTGTTTTATGTATATGCATTTGAATATTGATTGCCAGGTGAGACTCACCGTGCCTTCATTGTTGTCTCCTCCTTGTTATATGGTGTCATTAATTTCTTGAATTTCTCGATCTTCTTTTTTTTGGTTGTTAAATCATCTTAAATTTAAGGGAAATAATCTTATTTGGAAGAGTTCTTAGTAACTTTTTCATTCTGCTGCTGCAGATAGACTTCTCCAATTGTGTGCTGATAATATCTGCTTGAGTGAGAAGAAAGTACTTGACTAGATTCATTGGACATTTTGATAATGACAGAGCAGATGGGCCTTCTCTGTGCTGAGAAGTTTGTAGAATTCACAGTTGAACCAATTTTGCGTCAACTAAAGTACATATTTTGCTACAATAGTAACATTCAGCGATTGAGGGGTGAAGTGAAAAACCTGGAAAATAAGAGAAAAGATGTGCAATTATTAGTTGATGCAGCGAAAAGAAATGCTCAAGTTATTGGGTCAGAGGTGGATGCATGGCTGCAAAAGGTCGATGACTTGAAGAAAGTGGCATGTGAAGTTTTAAATGGTAGCACAAATTCTCAAATGCGGTGCCTCTACCTTAATTGTCCAAATTTGAAGTCCCGTTACTCACTGAGCAGGAAAGCTGTGAAAAAGACTGCTGATATTGTTGAGCTAAAAGCAGAAGGTGAATTGAGGGTTGGGCTGGTTGGCTACCCTGCACCACCAGTGCAGATACCTTACCAAAACCTCCATGACTTTGAGGGTTTTGAAACAAGGATATCGATTAAGAACAAAATCATGGAAGCTTTGAAGGACAAAGATATCGGCATAATTGGGATATATGGCATGGCTGGAGTAGGTAAGACGACGATGGTGAATGAAATAGTTGCTCAAGTCAAAGTTGAAAAATTATTTGGCGAGGTTGCAATGGCACTTGTATCTCAGGATCAAGACTTGATAAACGTTCAGGATCAACTTGCTGAAATGCTCGGTTTGAAAATTGAAGAGAAAACAAATAAAATTGTGAGAGCTGGACGACTACATGAAAGACTTGCTGCAGATGATGATAAGAGCATTCTTGTAGTATTGGACGATGTCTGGAAAGAAATTGATTTGACATCTATAGGAATTCCTCCAGAAGGCGATGATAAGAGAAAGGGGTTGAAAATTTTGTTTACATCACGAAATTATAATGTGTGGAGGAACATGGGCCCCAAAACAAAATTCGAAGTTAATGTTTTGACTGAAGGAGAAGGACTTGAACTTTTCAAGCATGCCGCAGACATTTCTGATGATACAACTGATGTTCTGAAAGGCTTAGCAGAACAAATTGCAAATGAGTGTGGAGGCTTACCGCTTGCACTCGTGGCCATTGGCGAAACACTCGGAAATAGAGAGGAACATGCATGGAGGAATGCACTAGAAGAACTACGAAGTTCTAGAGTCACCAATGTCACAAATGAAAACAATTTGGTGTACTCAGCGATAGAGCTCAGTTACAAATATCTGCAGAGTGATGAAGCCAAGTTATTGCTTTTGCTATGCTCTCTGTTCGCTGAAGATCAAAGTATTTCAATTGAAAGATTGGTTATATATGCAAAGGGGCTGTTTAAAAATACCACGTCTTTATCAAAAACAAGAGATAAGGTAAAAACAATTGTGGATAAGCTGAAAAGTTGTTATTTGTTACTATCAGGTAAAGAGGAGGAGGACGTGAAATTGCATGATGTTGTAAGAGATGTTTGCTTATCAATTGCATCTAAAGGCGAACATGTATTTATGGTGAGACATGCTGGTGTAACAGAGTGGCCAGAACAAGACACCGATGAGTTGTACACTGCGATGTCACTGACATTTAATGGGATGCATCAGTTTCCCAGTGGGTTAAAATGTGGGAACCTCAAGCTGTTACGAGTGCGATGCCAGAGGAGTTCGAGTGGACCAAACATGACATCCACAGATTTTTTTGAAGATATGAAGGAACTCAGAATTCTTGATTTCATTGGGATGAGCATTCCAATTCCATCCTCAATTCAATTGTTGACCGAACTTCGAACTTTGTGCTTGGACAGCTGTGAAATAAATTTTGATCTATCAATGATTGGGAGTCTAAAGAAGTTGGAAATTCTCACTTTTTTTGATTCCTCTATTTACGTTCGTTTTCCTAGCGAAATGGCACAACTTGGCAACCTAAGGTCACTGGATTTGAGGATTCAGAAAGGCTCCCATACACTACCACCTGGTGTTTTCTCGGGTATGAAGAAATTGGAAGAGTTGTACTTGGGAGATTACTTTCAAACGAGAGATGAAGAACGAATGCACATTATTGAAGAGGTAAGTTCATTGACTTCTCTTAACACTTTCCAAATTTCCACAGATGACTCTCAGTTTCTGATGCAATTAATACAAGCGCTGTGCCTTGAGAAGCTGGAAAGATTTCAAGTCATCAGAACTAAAGAAAAAGCACCCAATACTAAAGATTATCATGTCACAAGGAGTTTGCATCTCCTAGATGATATCGATGCAAGTATGCTTTTGGAACCTGGACTTAAATCATTAATGAGGAGAACGGACCATCTTTTTATTGAAGAAGCTAAGGTTTGGAAGAATCTTTCCAATGAGTTCCATGAACATGGTTTCATTAACTTGAAGACGCTGAAACTATTAAGTTGTGATTTTGAGTATCTTATTGATGCCACGATCTCCATTCCTACCGGCATGTTCGTTAAATTGGAACTTCTGGAATTGGAAGGTTTACATAATCTGATAGAGATATGCAATGGACATGTCCCAATGAAACATTTGTTGGGGCATATCTCCAAACCCTCATCTTTCTCTAACCTTGTGACTCTTAAAATAGATGATTGTGATGCAATTAGAAACCTCTTTCGGGAGTCAGTTGCAAAATGCATGGGTAATCTCCAAATTCTGTGTATATCTCGGTGTGAGATGTTAAAGGAAGTTGTTTCACCCGACACAGAACAAAATGAAGTTACGGATATGCTTGAGTTCCCAAAACTAAGAGAAATCATGCTTCGGAGTTTAAAAAGTTTTAAAAGCTTTAGATCTGAATCAAACAAGGTCGGTGCCATGCTCACATTGTTCAACCAGGTATAGATTTTAACTATTGTGTGAGCATTTGTTTCAAAGGAATGCAATTTTGAAGAGCAAGAAATTTGGAACACATGTTGTCCACTTCTTTCAAAAACTAGTTTAAAAAGAGGAAAGCAGAAAATATTAGAACTGTCATTTATCACCATGGAATCTCTACACACACTAATTAAGAAGAAATAAATATTAATTTATATCTTTTATTTACTTTTCTTTGATCTTAAAACCAACTCAACATTTGTAGCATCTTAAATACAAAAAAATAACTTCTCAATTTTTATTCTCTTATATTTTACTTTAAAACATTGAACCACTAGATTTAAAAAGCTCAACATAGTATCATAGAAGCAGAATCGTAACAGACAGAGGTTTGGGATTCAGGTCTCGCCATCATCCACAATTGTGTACATAGTGAACATTGCCTATACATTTGGGGACATGTTGAATTCAATATATAAATGATATGTATGTGACCTTATCTAACAGCAAAATTTAAAAAGATCAAGTGGTTCAACACGTCTCTGTCCAAGAGGAAATTAAGAAGGAAAAAAAATATTATGAATTCTAACCAGCATGAGAATTACTCCTAAGAAAATTAGAAATCCCATTTCTCCATTTCTCATTAATTCATAGCTTAACTTTTATGAAGCATGGAGTCCTACTTTTCAGATAATTACGAACAAGTTTTCACGACACTGATGATTTTTTGGTCCAGAATTCAACTTTTCATAAGGATTATTTCCTGTACATGAGAAAAACAAATATGCTTTCATTAATATAGTATGCCATTTAGCACATTATGTTATGAATCATCAGGTAACTTATGTGAACATGCTTTTTTAATTCTTTGATTTTAATGGTTTTCCTCAATTGTTTAAGTCGACATTATATTCAACTTCATAAAAGACGGTAGTCCTATGGCCACAGTCTTCTTATTGATTCCTCTTCAGAGCTATTGTATGTAACTAAAGTCATTCAGTAGCATTCATGGCTGACAGCATTAAGGAAATCTCACAGGTTATGTTCCCTAACATGAAGGTGTTAGAGATCGAGGAGTTGGATACAGTGAAGATAGTGGATGAGGAAATGCATATAAGATCTCTATATAAACTAAGTGACGTGACTGTGAGATACTGTGATAATCTGTTGACCTTTGCACAATCTGATTCAATCAAACTACTACAAAATCTCAAAAGATTGCAAGTACGTTCATGTAAAGCAGTGGAAGTATTGTTTGACATTGAGGGCCTAAAGATTGATAAAGATGAGGCAGAAATTAGTATACTTGATCGGTTATATTCATTGAGGCTGGATTCTCTACCTTCATTATTGCATATTACGAGAATGGTTGCTAAAGGAATTTGTGTCTTCCAGAATTTGACATCAATTGATATTTCAGAATGTGACAGCTTAAGGTACTTATTCTCACCTTCAGTGGCCAAATCACTCGTGGCTCTGCAAAGTCTATGGGTGAATAAATGTGAAGCATTGGAAGGGATTATTGGAGGAGACGATGAGACTACGGAGTCTAAAATGCTTGAGTTCCCAAGACTGAATCATCTCACCCTGGTGTTTGTAAGAAATTTCAAGAGCTTCAAATGTAAATCAAACTGTGTTGGTGTTCCCCAAACATTGTTCAACCAGGTATGTATACTTTCATATATGCATGAGCAATCGGCCATATTAATTTTTTTGAAAGATGCTTAGTCCTTTTGGATAGAATTCTGAAAACAAGTGAAATTTTATAGAAGCAGCAGTACACCAATTTAAAGCCACTTTAAGAATGCAAACACTTACCATTTTACTTGAATACCTAAATTTTTCACTACATAATAAAACTGCTAATTATAGTGTATTCTCTAATGAAAACTAATTGTAGGAGAAATAAATATTCTTTGTGACAGATATTAATTATAATATTGAATAAAAAAATTCTTTACATGTAAAAAAAATTATTTCTTCATAATGTTGAAGCTCTGTTAAAAAAGTGAGAAGCAAAATTTTAATATCTCTATTCTGTTTCTTATAATCTCCTATTAAATAAATTTAAGTTACAAACAGAACCCATTGGAGATGAAATGACTGTCTATTCAATAGATACCAATTCCACGTTGGTTGGAAATCTTTCTATTTGTTTGCAGACCACAATCCTTATAATGCATTAGAGACGTTGTAACAAAAAAACTTATTTTACAAAGAGCGTCTTATATAGAATAGAAGATATCTTTAAATTTAGATAGTAAAATTATTTACACTCCAATAATGCTCTTCAATTTAGCTCTTCATTTTATTTATTTTAAGAAACATTTATTGATTTATCTTATCTTTTGTATAACATATATTTTTTAGAGTCATGCTACTTGTACAATCTCGTTTACAACTTCTTTTACAACCTGTGACTTGTCAAACAACATATCCTTTCATTTAAAAAACTATTTTTGAAATTGATGGCCGAGATCTTGACAACACATGGGTTGTCAAACTAGTTGTCAACAAAGGTTATACAAGTAGCTTTATTCTTACTTGTGCCGGTTTTCTTTACTCCTTTGTCGATGTCATCCATTGAAAGTAATGTACTTCTATAAGCTAAGGATATTGCTACATGTATATCAAGATTTATACAAAGAATTGCATAAACTTTACCATTTGAAAATTTAAAACACAATCAACTTTTCCATCTAATCTTTTCCCTCCACATTATATACATTTTTTTACGTATAAGAACCAAAATCCATCAAAGAAAGCAATTGTACACTGGCCTAGATAGTGTCCACTCCTGGCTATGCACTTAACAAAAAGGAACTTTCTAGATTAGGATTTGAGAAAAAAAATTCCTTCAAAATTAATCAGCATCCTTTTTAAGTGAGTTGGAGTCAATGCCTTACAAGGTAGTGATGAGTTAAATTACTCGTATTGGCATGGAATTCA